GCGCCAATCATATGCTAGAGAGTAGAGACGTGGAGGTTAAAGCAAAAACACAAATTACTGAGCTTATTGCTTTATTTTTAGATTTTGTGAGAGTAAGGACCTAACCATTTGTCAAAAAAAGAAAATTGGTGGTCACAAAGAATGTTATGTGTATATGAAGTTAACAATAGTTACTATTATCTAAGAAGAAATAAGCACCAGAGTGAGTAATAAGGGACTTGTTTTTAATTATTTTAAGATAACGATAGACATATTTAGTTCTTATACTCCCTCTGTCCCTATCCCAGTTTGTCTGGATGAGATTATTAAGGTAAGAGTTGCAGTTTCATTGTATTCAAATGGAAGTGGGTCCAAAAGTCTAGAGAAAATTGACGTTTGAAGAATTGTACTTTTATTATCATAAGTTGGTCTAGCACTTTTTTATGATATAATACTGAAAAGTATAGAGCTTTCAGTATGAATTTCTCTTTATTAGAAAGTGGACAATTTTGAACAACCCAAGATACAAAATAAGATGGTTACTTTGGATTTGGTGTGTTTGTTAGATTCGGAGTTGTGTATTCATCATGTTTCTATTTGTTATTGTTCCTTATTTGCATCATCTATTAGTTCCTATAATTCGTAAAATGAAGATTCAGTATGCAAAGCACAAAATTTCAACATTTTCTTTGGTGGGGGAATTAAATTGAAATCTCCAAAAGAAAGCATAATTTATTTATCTATAATGATAAATGATGTTCAGCAATTCTTGCAAAAAAGAGATATGATAAGTAATGCATTTTGGATCTCTGCAAAAGTTCACACAGTATTAATCTAACTGCAGGTAAAATGTTTGGGATGTTGAAAGAGACTTATACTCTTCAAATTTTGCATAGCTCTTATTTATTCCAAATGCTTTTCCTTAGACTGACAGTACTTGGTTTTCTCTTTGAAGACAGCTGGAGCGTTTTATGAATGGATTGGAGCTGGTCCAACAAGTGTCAAAGTTGCAGGGTTCAAGAGTGGGATTGTGGACTTGACTGCATCTGCTTGGACCTATAAGGTATTGCATTTTCCTTCAGTTAAGTTTGTGCTCCAGCTTGCATCATTGTCAATCCAGGAAGCATGTATTCCTCTTTTTAAAGGTCTGTCACAGAATTGAAATTATTTGGACATCCTCTTCCAATATTTGGGAAAATCCATTTATTAATCATGGCGAGGTAATGACATTGTTAAAGTGGGCGCTTGCGCTATTACCTCTTTTGTCTTTTAAGAGGAAAAGAGATTTAGGCTGAAGATCATGGAATGTACATGGAGGAAAGGACTCATTACTTCTATTTAGTTGTATTTCCTTTTGTGCATTAATAGCATGAACCTAAAGGCAGCGATACTGCACAAAAGAACCAAATGAAAATGTAAGCAAAGAAATATATCTACAACTATAATATCTCATTCCTCAACAAACACCATCTTCTCAGACCTTAGACTGTTCTATTGGTAATGGAGTCTGATGTGAACGTCAAAGCTTTGATTGTAGGACAATGTAGCCTTATCCCAGATTGGATACATATGTAGATTTTTTTTTTCTTAAGATGCTTAAATCTCACCTGCCAACAATTTAGGATACTGTTCTTGAGTGAGATGAGATCTGACATATATCTAGACAAAAAGACAGAACTCTTTGGTTTAGTAAAAAATCTGGAAAAGTTTTCCTTCATTGTCTGTAGAGAGGAACACCTTGTCTCCTCAAATGGCTAACATGTTAGTTCTATTGCTACTTTTTGAGCCTTCAGTTAGAGGGGCCTTAGGTTTGTGATTTCTTCTAATTTATATGAGGCCCACATGTTGTTAGTCTTGTGCAATGTTTCATTACCCTACTCAAATTTTCTCTCCATATTGTGCGTCGTATTTAATAAATCTTGGTGTTGCTCATTCACAGTTCGGTACCCCAAAACCAATCAGTGTTGTTCCAAAAGGTTTCATTCACTACTGTATTTTGTTTGAAATATTGAGAACCTTGATTGCTCACTTTAACAGTTAATATTTTACGTCTAGATTGGATTGCAAGGAGAACATTTGAGGATACAGAAGTCATATAACTTGAACAGTAAAATCTGGGCACCGACTTCGCAGCCACCAAAGCAACAACCCCTCACATGGTATAAGGTAAGAAGGAAATAATGCTCGGAACATTGAGCCTGTTTATAGTTGCTTCTGAAGTTGTTTTACCCCTTCCAATTTTCTCATCACCGCTGGTTCTTTTCTGCGATTTTCCAGGCAGTAGTAGATGCGCCTCCTGGTAATGAACCTGTTGCACTTGATATGATTCATATGGGAAAAGGAATGGCTTGGTTGAATGGACAAGAAATTGGAAGATATTGGCCAAGGAGAACTTCTAAATATGAGAAGTGTGTTACTCAATGTGACTACAGAGGCAAATTTAACCCTGATAAATGTGTCACTGGCTGTGGACAACCTACACAGAGATGGTAAGACCAAATGTTTGCCTGAACAGTATCAGTACTTCAGTAGTATGAGTGTATACTTTTTTCAGACTTCGTCCATAGACCATAATATATTTTTTGCATGAATTCCTAAGAAAAAAAACTCCTATTTATTTTTTAAGTAGCATTTCTTTGTTGTATGCCTAAGAATTTGAAAACTCCTATCTACTTTTTAAAGGAGCATGTCTTTGTTTCCAGTTATCGATAGAAGACCAGTAGTGTTCGAAGTAGTATCATCAGTTTGCAACCTTAATGCTAGTTTTTGTTGTTTTCTCTTTTTGTATACATCCATATTTTAAAGTAGAAATTCTCTTATTTTTCTTGTTAATTAGGTATCACGTGCCACGATCTTGGTTCAAGCCATCAGGAAATGTCTTAATTATCTTTGAGGAAACAGGTGGAGATCCCTCTCAAATTAGATTCTCAATGCGAAAGGTTTCTGGAGCTTGTGGTCATCTTTCAGAGGACCATCCATCCTTTGATGTTGAAAATCTGCAAGGAAGTGAAATTGAGAAGGATAAAAACAGGCCAACTCTAAGGTTGAAATGCCCCACAAATACTAATATTTCCTCTGTCAAATTTGCCAGCTTTGGAAATCCTAATGGTACATGTGGCTCCTACATGCTAGGAGACTGCCATGATCCAAATTCTGCATCATTGGTCGAAAAGGTAACATAATATCTGACAAAACCCTCTGCGTGAATCATGAATTTTCTCGGTTGAACAAAGGCCTTGAGCAATAAACTGTACCAGAAAGCAACATACTAGCTTAAGTTGACTGAGTGATTTCTAAGCTCAACTAGCATGTGACCAACTACTTCTTCTCTTCTGTAATAACCTGAGGTTGCTATTTATTGTTTCGCAGGTTTGCCTGAACCAAAATGAGTGTGCATTAGAAATGTCCAGTTCAAACTTTAACATGCAATTGTGTCCAAGTACAGTAAAGAAACTTGCTGTTGAAGTGAATTGCAGCTGAGCGCCATTGCCCAAAATGAACAACAGATTCTAATTCATATAATTTGCTACCTCGGAGATGCCCATTCTTCAACCTTTATTACATAGCAGAAAACTCTGCTATTCCTTCTTTCGTCTATGATTTGAAATTTAAGATATGATTACTGATGTCTTATTAAGCATCACCAGATAACCTTGGTATTCACGTTTGAAAGACAAAGTATTCATATTTATTCAGTCGAGATGCAAGATTTATTTGTGCATTGTGAGATTCAAAATTAAACAAAAACCACTTTTTTATGAGAAGAAATTATGTGTTCTTACGGAATTGTTGCTCCCAGAATATATTAGTGCATGTATTTTCCTTCTAAGAATTAAGAACCTTTTAGCTGGTAAGTTGACGTGTTTCTAACTATTATTATGATGCCTCCCTAATTCTTTCATATAGGCATGTGACTAATATGTTTTAGACTTTTCATTGTAGATGTTTTTTTATTTTATTTTATTATTATAAGCAACATTTGTGGCCACAACTTAATTTTATATCTAAAAATATGTTCTCACTATTTCACTTCTTTTTCAACAACTGCTAATGTTAAGAATTTGAAATTAATGGTAGAATATATAATACAAGTCTGCTTCTTTGATGCCCAATTATATAAAAGTTATTCAAATGTGTTACTTTTTCTTTTAAATAATAATTACTCTAATATTATTAATAACATAATTGCTTTTTTTTATTCGAGTATATTTCACAATGTATGTATAGATCGATCAATAGCTTAAAAATTGTAATTGAACTCCAAAATTGATGGTAACAGGTGAGCTTTTCGGCATGTAACCATATATACAACAACATCAACATATTCAGTGAAATCTCATTAAGTGAGATTTTAGAAGGGTATAGTGTACTCAGATCTTACCACTATCTCGAGAAGATAGAGATGTTGTTTTTGAAAGATGCCGGCTCAAGTGCATCAAATTCAAGTAAAAGAAAAAGAAAACGATGAAGATAGCATAGACGTTAATAAGAAAAACAGTGTAAAGCCTACAAGAAGGAAACAATAACAACAACAAAATAGTGGGATAGTTAAAACAACATGTGCCATATATACATATAGTTCTCCCCTCCACACACCCACACACCGTTAACACGATTTCTATTAAATAATTTATTACTAGACATCAATTTAAATATTTTATGTGGTACTTCCTACAATTGTGCAATATCAATCCGATCAACCTATTAGTAGAATTTTCTTCATACAAGTATCGTTCTCCTCACACTCATAGTACTCTTTTATTTTTTTAGTTAATTGTTTTAAGGCTCAATACATGATCAACATTTTAAATAATTAAATTAAGTTTCCTTTCAATTAAAAATCTCAGCTACTAATAGAATATCAATTAAATATATTTGAATCATATGTGATTACCTTAGTTATCTAATAAAAAATAAAATAAAAATATACACAATTTTCTCTAAAATTTGAATCATATATTTAATTAAAATATATTGACTAGCTTAAAAGATTGATTAGGCAAAAGTCTCGTAACTAAAGTGGTGCAGTTTCCAAATTGGGGTACGACTGAAAGGGCAAAAGAGTCCTATCATTTTTCGGGGTTCGTAAAATCTCCAGTTTGCCAGGGTTTCAAAATCCAGTGAATCTGAAGGCAGATTCACTTTACTCTTCATTTGTGTTCTTATAACAGAGCGGGAAGACAGAGAGCGAGCGAGATAGATTCAATTCACTGTTAACACTTTTGTTCAATCAGTCGACGCTGCAATTTGGGCAAATTATTGCATTCATAAACGAAGAAATTTGTTAATTTGCGACAAAGAAGGCGGCAGGGCATCAAAGGGCGATGGATTTGGATCAGTGGATTACGACGGTGAAAGAGGGGCAGCATTTGGCGGAGGACGAGCTTCAGCTCCTTTGTGAATATGTAATGTTTTTTTTCTACTTCTAAAACTTGTCGTTGGATTGGCTAGGGTTTGTTTGGCCAATAAGAATATTGAGTTAGTTGAATTCTTGTGATTTACTAAACCTGTTAATAGAAAAACCCTAAATTTTTTGTCGGGTTCTGTGTTGCGGATATTATTGATTTTGGGCTTTTTGTGTGGGAGAAGAGGAGTTTGATGGAAACCGTTAAGGGAGATCATAGAGGCATATGATTGTTTGCGAATTGATATTACTTTGGTTGCAGACTGGGTTTGTTACTTTTGCTTTTTGCTCATATCCAAGTTCCCTCAAGTGGGTTTCATGAATAGTTACGTTCACATTTTAAGGAATCCTGAAATGTTGCATGTGTGGTATTTAGGAAAAAAATGTTATTAGCGTCAACTGATAGAACGATGCTTTGTTGGAGAACACAGTTGTTTAGGTTTCCTTGTTAAAACTTTTAGAGTGGCTGAACTAGTTGAGTATTTCTCTTTTTCTTGTATATTGATAAATGCGAGTAGTCAATGATATGGCTAAAGTTTGTGGCTGCATGATGATGATGGAGGTCAGCAGTCGGTCCTAAGCCTGTGTGTGTGTCTGAGTGGGGTGGGGTGGGGGGAGGTCAGAGTAGATTTAGCTTTGTGTAGCCTGGGATATCTTCTTTATTGTTTCTATCTGGGTCATCAAAAACAAAATCTGATAAAGTCTTTGGAATTGTAATGTCTAGCCTTTTTTTGGCATATGTGGTGGGACTATTCTGTGTTGCTAGAATGTAATTTTTTTTTATAGGATATATTCTTATGTATAGTTCATTGCAGAAAGAGGATTTGTGAATTTTCTGCTTATATGGGCATTGTTCACAGGAAAATGTTCTGATTGCATTTGTGATTAATAACTCTAGGTATATTAGCTTGGTATCTTCGACCTGCCTAGTGCCTACTAATTGTAACTTGTTGTAATGATAGTTCTTAGCATTGATAAGTTGTACTGTACCATGGCAAATGGTTTTTCCAAAAAGGGTACTAAGCAGATGTGGTCCATCTTTTTAACATTTGTGAGAATCATGTTCAGGTTGAGCATCTGATGTCATTTTCCTTGAGAAACCTCTGACCCCTTTATTCACGTCTAAAACATGTTATTCTTATCCAGGTTAAGGAAATCCTGATAGAGGAGTCAAATGTGCAGCCCGTCAATAGTCCAGTTACTGTTTGTGGAGACATCCATGGCCAGTTTCATGATCTAATGAAACTTTTCCAGACTGGAGGTCATGTACCTGATACAAATTACATTTTCATGGTAAAATTACACTAGATGTGAATTGTTATGGATTACTTTTTCACGAACTTCAGTAACTGCTCTGTTTAAATCATCAGGCTTTAAGATTTTTTGTTTTTTGCCAGGGAGATTTTGTTGACCGTGGATACAATAGTCTAGAAGTTTTTACAATTTTGTTGCTCCTTAAAGCAAGGTATGTAATGGAACATTTGAATGCAATTTTATGTTACTTGTCTGTAGCTGGTTCATGTTTCTTTCTGCACTAATGAATAGGTTTTTGTTGACTGGTATTTCTTAGAAAAGCTAAATAAGAAAAGACATGCCTCTGTTACTGTCAGTTTGAAGCTGTCTTGAAAAAAATGCTTGCGACCCAGGAACCTTGTAGAATTCAATGTTTCTTTCACTAATTAAAAGAAGGACCGAATACCATTTGTCAGGTCCAAGAGAACTCTGATAGAAACTAGTTTGTTATTTCATGTTTTTACCCAAATATTCTGATAGTTCCCCTTCTTTACCTTTCCGCTCTGTATAAAGTTGTTGCCTCATGTTCGAGATTGATTCACATTCACATTATCCGTGCTGCGTTAGTTAATCAAATGCCCGCGTTGCTTACTCTCTGGAAGTTTCTTTGTTAAATGGTGAAATAACATTCACTCCTGACTATATCTTTCCCGCCTTTTATTTTCTATCAGATACCCAGCCAACATTACTCTTTTACGTGGAAATCACGAGAGCAGGCAACTAACACAGGTAATGGATACTATACCTTAAATTTATGATGCCTACATGTGAAGTTTAGGTAATAAATGCCTAGGTCTCATAGATGTAGTCGAGATTCTTTACCTCATACTTGCCTCCCCCTCTCTCAATTTTTTTCTTGAAGAGGCAATTGTTTTTGCTGTCATTGCAGTGCCTTAATTAACCATTTGATAGGTCCTAGGCTAAATCATGCTTCATGAGGGTTTTTTCTCTCATATAAATGGTGTCTGGAGAATGTGTTTCTTTTATTTTTTTTATTTGTGATTTTCTAATGATTACTTGTCTCCATATTATTAGCTGGTTGGTTGCTATTTTGAATCCTATCTTACAAGTTATAGTAAGGTTCTTGAGGATGGTTAGTTGCAAAGAGAAACACTGTTTCTTTCTGTTCTTTTAAAAAAAATAAAAATTCTCAACTCAGACTTCTGGCTATCTTTATGATAAGAGGACATACAAGTGGTTTATCAAGTTTGCACTGCTTAATGCTGCTGCCTATGGTTTGTTTACCTGGACCACTTCAAATTCGTGGAATCTTTTTTCCTCATAGTGAAGATACACACATGCTATAAGAAGGAAACATTATCTAGATGTGCTATGTTCTGATCAGCTTTACATTTTACGTGTTATAATAGGTCTATGGATTCTATGATGAGTGTCAAAGGAAGTATGGAAATGCAAATGCATGGCGGTACTGCACTGATGTTTTTGACTATCTTACTCTCTCGGCAATCATAGACGGAACAGTATGTTCTAGCACTCAGGATAAACATTACCACTTGCCATGTTTTCTAATCCTATTAATAAACACCTCTCTTCCCATACAGGTATTATGTGTCCACGGTGGACTTTCTCCTGATGTTAGAACTATTGATCAGGTATGTTGACTTGGACTTTGATGTTTTTGTGCTTCTGCTTCTTTTTTCGTAACTAGTTTCTAATTATCCAAGTGTCATGGATTCTATATGTCTTCACTGTACTAGAAAGAAATCAATCCTTTCTTACTCCAAATGGGCTCCAATATAATATGTATGTATATACATGAAGAAGAAGTGAAAATTTGCAAGTCGTTTATGTTATGTGTAATTGAATAAAATTATATAAAGAAATGGCGAAATGGTTTCCCTTTCAATTGATTTAGTCAACGACTGACCAGAATATTACTTTAATTAATAAATTACATGAACTTAGATCAATCAAAAAATGATATTGATTTAATATCTCACAACATGTTGTGTATCTGGAGATCATATAGGGTCCTTTTTCTCTTCTACGTGGTACTTGAGGATTCTCTGGAATTGATTGTGCCAATGTCAATGCTTTTAATAAAATTTGTTGCTAAGTTGATCTTTTTCTCCATTTAGCATAATCTTTCTTCTGTTCAAAATGTGGGCACATGCAAAGCTAATGTTTCTTCTTTCTTTGTAATTGATATGGCAGATCAGAGTCATTGACCGTAATTGTGAAATTCCCCATGAAGGGCCTTTCTGCGACCTTATGTGGAGTGACCCCGAAGATATTGAAACATGGGCAGTAAGTCCTCGAGGAGCAGGTTGGCTTTTTGGATCCAGGGTTACCTCTGAGGTATGTAAGCTTAAAATGTTAATTATAGTTGTGATTATTGTTTCAAATAAAGATTTTGTGCATGATTTGCAGTTCAATCACATTAATAAACTAGATCTAGTTTGCCGGGCTCACCAGCTTGTCCAGGAAGGTTTGAAGTACATGTTTCAAGATAAAGGACTGGTGACAGTAAGTAATCTATTCTTTATTGCGTCGGTCATCTGATGTGTAGCATATAATGAATCATGTCACTGTTGCCTTCTGTACAATGCAGGTGTGGTCTGCTCCCAACTATTGTTACCGATGTGGAAATGTTGCTTCAATATTGAGCTTCAATGAGAATATGGTAGTATTGCTATGATTTTCACGCATTATTGACCTTCTACTAGTTAGCCCATTGGAATTTCAGGATTACTTAGTGGTGCCCTTTGTGTTGCTTGATGCTCTGCTTATCATTGTGCGTTGAGAGTTGTATCCTTCTAATTTTATTTGTCTCATATGATTTGACCTATTCAAGTTGATGTTTGTTGTTATATATGCATACAGTAAGTCTGCAATTATATTGTGACCATAGGAGGATTTTTGGTCTTGGACATAATGCCTCATCCTGATATTAGGAGAAACTTACTACTCCCTACTGTTTTCAGAAGCAAAAAAGCTCTAAGGTATGTTGGGGCTCTAAGCACAAATAAAGCGCAGGCTTTAATGAAAAAAGACTCAAGGGGAGGAAAACATACAAATATATATGTTTAGTCCAAGACTAATAATTTATAAGCATGAATGACAAATATATGGACAAAGAAATTGAAAAATAATAACAATAATTAGAAATATCAATTGTTAAGTGTTGCGTCTTCATAAGAGGTTCATTGTCAAGAAAAAAGTATGCCTTAGAACCTTGATGATGACACTGAAACATACATTAAGTGAGGCAAAGCGCTAAACATGTTTTGATATTTGCTTCAGGACTTTAGTGTGCCTTTGACAACACTGCTGTCTCATTTTTAGTTTGATTTGGCAGTGTGAAAATGTAAACAAGACTTTTAACTCCTGTGGTTTTAAACTAAAGGTGTGCATGACTTACCATAAATATCCTCTGAATCTTGTAGTCTTAAATTGTGCATAACATACCAAAGATATTTGTTGAATCTTGTGGCCTTAAACATGTCATGCAATTCGGAGTGTAAGGGTGGAATTAAAAATGTACTAAATATAGAAAGACATTTTTGTTGAAACTGTCTAAAAAGAAATATAGGTCACAAATTGAAAAGGGAGTAATTAGAATGTCCCAAAGCCAAGCCAAGCCCATGAGTTGATCCTCTTTCCACTTTTTGGATTTTAGTACTTTAGAGTTCGACATTGCATATGAAATGCTGGAGAAGGTGATGTGACACAGTAATCGTTAACTGATTCATCAGAAAAAAATGATGATGGTTAGTTGTTTTTACTGGAGTTCCTGGTGAAAATGTTCTTCACTTCTGCTCTGATTGACCGTCGGATTTAAAAATGCTTCACCTTTTCTGCTCGTCTCTCTTTTACTTGCATTGGTGGTCCATTCCTTTCCTAATTCACACTTCTACTTTTTTCTTTTGTCAATTTCTTAGTGAGTAATGCCATCGTAATCTTTGTACTAAAGGATTCAATCTTATGATACATATATAAATCTTGCCTCACTGTATGAACTTATTTTTTTTCATTTTCCATGTTCAAAGGTAGAGCAGTGACAATGTCAACATCTTTAGCTTGAAGAGCTAGGATTTCTTCCTCTTCATCTACTGCTATGAATATGTTCACTCCCATTAACTCTTTTGAAATAGGATCACTAGGCATAGTGGAGACAAAAAACACTAGGTGATTCTTCCCATCTGTCCTAGCCTTGGTGGATGGAGTTACCTGGTACCTGGTACCTGTTGCTGGTGGCAGGTGACAGGTATCTTGTGGAATTAGTCGAGGTGCGCAAAAGCTGGCCCGGACACCATGGTCATTTTAAAAAAAAGATCACTAGGCATAAGCTTGTATTTGGTTTCATAGAAGGAAAGATTAGTGCTATCTTGATTACCCCTTAGAAGTAAGGTCTTTTACGAAGTTTTGCATTAGTTTTCTGTCTCCACATCTCATTTATTTGTTGGGAAAGCTTAATAGAATGACTAAGCTAAGACCTTAACATGAATAGGCATGTATAATCTCTTGGGGACTAACTACATTTGTGGATCTAAGCTCCTTCAAGTTTGTGCAATAGAGTTCTTTATTGAGAAAATTGGGCTAAAGTGTGAAGTCAGCAGGAGAAAAACCAAAAGATTGACTTTTGCACTCAAGAAAGACCACATAATATATTGGCGGGTTAGATAGCAAGAGCATCTAAATTAGTAATGGACAGGGTGGCTAAAATTGGTAGATCTCTTTTACCTGGGAGTCTATCTGGATACCTTGAAATGTTCTCATCCTTTTGTGATAACAGAATGAAGAGTAGAGCGAAAGAATAAGAAATAGAAGAGCAGATAAGATCAAGCAACTATGTTCTTCAAGTGTAGATGAGATGAAACTCATAGGACTTGAACCCATATACAAGAGTTTATGCCCACTTTTGATTCCCGAAGCATGTTTGTTGCACTAGGTATGGAAATGAAATTTCTAAGATGAAAGAACTGGAACTGCTTGTGGTATTGGAACAGCAAGCTAGGTGATAGGAAAAATGGATAAGAAATGAAGCATATTAGGCAATTGTGTTGTCGACTTGTCCTATGGTCGAAGTCTCGTACATTTTTGAATGTACTGTTACTCTTTATCGTATCCCCCTTTATTTGGTTATAATCTCGGCATTTTAGCTCTTTATTTCCTTGCCACTTTCTTTTCTGATTATTGTTTGGTTTTATCAGGAGAGAGAGGTAAAGTTCTTCTCTGAAACTGAGGAGAACAACCAGATGAGAGGGCCCAGGACAGGAGTGCCTTATTTCTTATGAGGAGAATGCTCGCCTTTTCTTCTGATATTATTTCTGCATTTCATCCGGCCACCCCCTTATTAATGGGAAAATCTAAGGGAGACTGTCTGTCCGGAGGGGACTGAATATGTCATTCAACAAGACGGTGGTATATGCCTTAGCTTGTCTGGGTGAGACCCCACTGGCTCCGAATAGTTTGTGCTATGTATTTACAATGGCCTCGAATGCTGCTCCCCATCTGTTCCGTAATTATTTTTGAATGTGTCATATTGGTGATATTGTACCTTGACCAGATTACAGTCTTTAGATTACTCGCTTGCATTTTTGCTAGATGTACATTTTATTTTCGCTTTGAACTTGAAAATTATTGTTCATTTTACAACTCGAAATCGGATAAAAGCTTGGAATATTATGGGTCTAATCAGCAGTGTGATGTTTCGTATCACTTAGAAATATGGGAAGTTGCAGCTACTAAGTATGTTTCTCTTGAATCTAGTGATTACAGATATTTACGTCTGAAAAGTAACTTTATCCTTTACGTAAATGTGTCATATTATTGGTGATATTGAAGGATGCTTGTTATGTTCTTTGACAACGTAATTAACTGTATTTTTCATTTTGAGATTCAGAAATGGTTAATTGATGTTTAAGAGCCGACAAACTGCCCTATGTTTCTATCATTTTTCTTGTTTTAGATAATCATAAGTCTCTTGGTGGTAATTTTATTTATTTCAAACCAAACTAAGTCAAAGAATATGTGAGGTTATTTTTATGTCCCTTGGTGATTAGTTCTTTAAGTGGTCCTTTGACTTTTGGTATAAAGATGCGTGGAATTGGTAACACATGAATTAATAATGCAGAAACTAGTAATATAGAAATTAACTTTTATTAAGTATTTGGTTCATTGCTTCTCACTTAATTTTGTGTTTAGTTTAAGACTCACAAAAAAATTCTTTCATATTATACCCTTGATTTATTATGAGATTTTTTATTTCATTTAGCTAGTTAAGTTAAATATTAAAATATAAAAAGAAAATATTATTATTAATTTTGAGGTGTGATGTGGCGGTACGAAGATCCTTGATAGAACGTTCATTTTTAGCACAATGATCAAAATCCCAAACAGACTTATTATAAAGATAGGGACCATTTTGAAAAACTAAGTTGAGTGCGAGCCCAAATTTGAAATCACGCCGAATCCTCTTCCGCCACTTTCCGTCTCTCCTTCCGGCCAACTCCCTGTCGGCTTTGAACTCGTCGAAATCTCTCTTTCTCTTCACAAAATTAATTTTGAGATGTAAGTTCGTTCTTCTTACTCTTTTATCCCGATCCATCTCTCTACAAGTGCACTATCTGTTACTCGAATTATATGCCGTGATTTTGATGCATTTTTGAATGCTCTGTATGTTGGTATATTTACATGCCCAATCACTTTCTTTATTGTCTTTATTTTGTGGAAATTGTACCGATTTGCCTTTATTATTCATCAATTTCTGAAAATTTTGAGCAAAAAGCCATAAAAGATTATTATTTATTATACTGGGATTTGTTACTCAATGAACTTCAATTCATTTTACAGATCCTTCTAAGTTCCTCAGCGACTGATTTCGATTTTGTAAAGTGTCATGTAAGAATTGTTCCAAATTTCTTATCACTCTTGCCTCTTTTTACATGAACTATTGAGAGTGTAGTATTAGACTACTCACTTGACAGCATTTATCTGTAAATAAAATATTATTATATCAACCAAGGTCCAAGAGTAAGAATTTCAGAGTATGGAATTTACCGAGTACAAATGTGTGTTGTTTCTTCATACAAATGAAAAGGGCCGTAACTCTGAATGGATTAACAATGATTTATATCGTCATCTTTTATATTTATTTTAATTGCTACAAATAGCTTAAATGTATCATCTTCTTTTTAAGCAGTTAAGGATGTTTATTTCATCTTTTATCCCATTAATAAAAGAGATGTACAATAATGTAGTCCAGCAAGATGTCCTTGACTGCATCATTATAAAAAAGAGAGAGTATAATCTCCTCTTGTTACTCCATAGCAATTCCACCCACTTAATCAGTATGAACCAAATAATCCTCGGGAGCGATTGTGCCAAGAAAACTGATGAAAGTACTTTATGCTTAATCTACTACCAAGAACAAAGAAAGATAATTTACTAGCTAACAACTCTAGAGTAGGGTTAATTAGATCATTCTCTTTGCAGACTGTCTCGGTTTAAACATGTTTTCTGATTATAATAATTACTCATACAACATAAATGTATGCATGCTGTCTAGTAAAAGTAATTATTAACTTGATGAGAGAAAAATGCTTTCAGTAAATTTATATATCTCCATGCCAAGACGAAGAGGAAGACCTCGCAAAACAACTGAAATTGTTAAGGATGCTAATGAAGAACAACATCAAGTGGAAATGGAAGATGATATATTCAAGCAAGAAGGTATCTTTTAAATGTGCAAATGTTTGTTCGTCTTAACATTTGAAAGAAAAAGTGAGTTGTTTATTTTTGAAAAACAAAATATAGTAAGAGGAAAACCACAAGGACAACGGTTGCATATATAGATTGGGTGCAGAAATCTTGAAGTAGGAAATTTTGATTTGCTTGGTTGCACTTCATATGCATGAAGCTATATTCTCTTATCCATTCTCGTTTAGTTTTTATGTGTTGATGTATGATATAAGTTCTCTGTGTGACCTATTTGTTCTGATATATTCCTGCAAGCTGAACAAAGAAGTAAAATTATCAATTTGCTAGGTCTATTACCTTCCATTGATGCGATACTTTTTGAAATTTAAGAGAAGGTTATGAAGATTGAAGATGCTTTTCACTAGGAAAGTTAAATGTAGAAGGAAATATTTCTAGTATGTGTTTGAGTAGGAATTTTTGAAGTAAGAAGAAATTGGATGATATTAATAGCATCACCCTTCCAAATATTTCAACTATTCAGCACTTAATTTACACTTTTAAAACTTAGTTCCTCCAACTAATCACTTGGACAGTCAAATGATATTCGAAAGCATGTAAATATGAAGTTCTTAAACATGGTTTCCCCATCTATTCTAATTTTTTGCTGTTATCTGTTTGTTCCTGATGAATTTTGATTCTCACATTACCATCATGATTGAATCTCACTGACTATGTCCTTTACCTTATTGTACTGGATCACTATCTCTTTTCAGCTGAACGTCAAAGTGCTGCTATCAGGGCTATTCGTGATGTGGAGATTGAACACTTAAAAGATATGTTGCGATTGCTGAGATCAAATTTTAGTAATGAACAGCAGCAAGTTCCAGTAATGCAATTTTTTGAGGAAAAGTTTCCACACCTGGCTATTGTAAGAAATGAGAAAAATGGCCAGTATGAAGTGCAAAGGAAAGACAATGCTGTTAATTTAAGCATCGACCAATTTGATGGAAGGAATTTACATGCTTCTCTTCTTCATAACCTGTCCATGGTGTACCCCGATTGCTCCAGTGCCATGCCATCACTTGGTGGATTTGAATTCTCAAATAAATCTGGTATCTTTGAATCTCTTTTTACCCATCCTTTTATGAAAATGCTAGACACTCAAGTTTATTTCTGCTAACTCAGTTTAACAACATTTTGGCAGTTAAAACAACATGCTATGGTGTCGAAAACCTCCAGATCAAGGGATTTGTATGTTCCATTGCACTTCATTTTACTATTTCCTGCAGTTTATGTCATTCAATACCACATTTCAAGTAACTTAGGTTGCATGATGATCCCTTTTTGGCTGTATGGTTAAATTCTTGCATTTAAGATTTGGAAGTAAGAAGCATTTAGTTGGTACTTCTGAAAGCCTCTTTTACAACTAATCTTTTTGTGCTTCAGACTCTTTTTTCCTTCTTTTTTTTGTGGGGATGTGGGGTGGACTCATTTATGTCTTTGCACTGGCTCATCACGTAGCTCTAGAGGTGTCTGGTTGTTGACATTTCTTCATGCTTCTTTTGATTGAGCAATTGATGTGCCCTTGGCCCTTGCGATGATAACAATACTTGCTTAATCATTTTTGTTCCTTATTTTGCTTTTTTTTTTTTTTTTTTTTTTCTGAAGGTCTTGGAAGAGCCATCTGACTCCCAAATGCTTGATCTGCCAGATACTCTTCAGACACCTGGTGTACGTAGCTATAATATAATTTCTTTGCGGTTTGTTGTTATTACTTGTTTGCAATATCTTTTTCTCTACTTAACAATTGATTTTATTCATTTTATTCCTTTAAAGCATCTAAACAGCGGGATGATGGGTTGGGAAATATTTCATTTGACACATAGACCCTGCAGTATGAAGCACTGTTTTTCCTTATTTATTTCTCTATCTGGATGACTGCACCTCTTGGTACTCTCTTACGATATACAACATTGTTTAGTTGATTAACGCTTTAGGATCAATGCTATGTTAATAGTGGCATTACTGTACGTACGCCTGTGATGGTTCAATGAAGCGACTTTTAGATGAAACTAATTTTGTTCCGAAGTAGCTTCAGCACCAGTTTCTTGTTGATGTCTCTACGAGTATTTTGTGCTAGAGACAATATTCATAGAGTAATATATTTTTGGCTACAGGCATATAATAACAGATTATCTGTTGGGATGACTCCCAAAACTTTAAGGCTGCCTAAACCTGGGGAAATGCTTCTATCTGTCCACGGCTCTCCTCTCGGTGTTTACAAGGAAGACAATATGGAAGCAATACATGGTATGGACCTATATGATAGATGACTTTGGTCGTTAGGAAGTTCATTGGGAAGTACTAATAGTGTGTTACTTTTTTCTGCAGAGTCTGGAGAGTGAAGATGGATGAATTGACTCAAAAGTAATTTGTTAGCGGAGGGGTAGAAGATGCATTTCATCTGATGTAATAATGTTTGAAACTCGTCATCAAGACTAACCCGTACTCTAATTATGTTGAGAGTTCATAGAGCCCTTTGTCTGCCTCCTTTTGGCTTGTTCCAGCCTTTTTCTTTATTTCCTTCCCTCTTATCTTTGTTATGCTACGGGTGGGGGGCTTCTGACTATTTTCTGTAGGTTATGAAGCTGGAAAAGTGATTCTCTTTGTAAATAATTTGTAAGAGTGACAAGGTTTTTGGTGATTAGAGATGGTCAAGTTCTTAACTTCTGTGTTAAGTGTTGGACCTAGTTTACTGCATAGTTTTAACTGTCTGCTTTTTAATCTTTCTTGCAAACCAGTCTTCCTTGGGATGAATTATCAATGATATAGAATCGTACAAGTTGCAAATGCGCTTGATTTAAGCAAGAACACGAATTTAACTAGCAGGAACCTAAACAAAAAGTTCAGTCAACAAAAGCAATGTCAACTTTGCCAGTCAATGTAGATAATTTCTACAACAATTGGGGTTTGCGTACACTCTATCCTCTTTAGTGTGGAATTTCATAGGGTAGGGTATGTTGTTGTAATTAACTACTTTCAAGCTAAAGATCTCAAAGCTAATCAGTACCTTTAAATTTCTCAACTGATGCTAACCATGTCTTCCTAGTTTTGTTAAGGGCATTGTAAATTTGGATAGAATGAATCTGCCCACCTTCAGATAAAAAAGAACAAAGGATGCCAACCTTATTTTTGAACCTCCGTAGATTCGTAGCCAGTGACTTCCACTGGCCTTTGTATAGGCTTATTTTTTGCTAAGTGCTCCTTAAGCACCAAAGGTACAAGTTTGGTATGCCAAACTTCAAAGTGTGTATCCTTATCTCATCAATGAAAGGCCAGCTTTTGTTATTAAAAAAAAAAAAAAGTACCTTTAAACCTTCTTTTTTTCTCTCTGTAAATTGATGGAGGTAAATATGTAAGAATATTACCACCTTCAAATAGACACTTGTAGGTCAACTAAAAGAGTAAAGTTATAGTATTGTTTATGGTTGATTTGCTACGAGTCATTAAGCAGTGAGAACAGAAAATAGTCAAAGCTCTTCATATAGCTGACCTACTTTCCTTCTCCTCTCAACATTTTTCTTGTTATTAGGTGAAATAGGCCAAAAAGTTTCCTACCTCCATCTTCTCTAGGGATATTTAATTAACTAAACTTCATATATAAAACAACATATAAGTATTTTAACTTATAAATAGTAGTATACTGCACATTACGTGAGAGAGGTTCATTTGTAAGTTGTTGATCAAAAGCAATAGCGTTCTGTGTTAAGTAACAATTGACAACAAATGACAGAAAATCAAAGAATTCATCCAGTTGTGGACATGGAAGCACCACCACCAACAAGAACAACACGTCCTTCAGTGCCTGGAGGCTCGTTAAAATCAGAAAAAGGTGATCCAGCGCGGCTTCAGCAGCCAACAGTGAAGCAGCCATTCAGACGTACCGTACCTGTAATGTATTCAAGACCACCCACTAAGAAGAGAAGTTGCATTTGCAAATGCATTTGCTGGACAATTAGCCTCATCATACTCCTACTCATCATTATTGCAGCAATTGCTGGCATTCTTTACCTTGTTTTCAAACCAAAAATCCCTCAGTACTCTGTAGACAACCTCAGAATATCAGACTTGAGGCTAAATTTCGACATGAGCCTCTATGCAAAATTTAATGTCAGAATCACTGCTGTGAACCCAAACAAGAAGATTGGTATCTACTATGAGAAAGGAAGTCATTTGAGTGTGTGGTACAAGAACACACAGCTCTGTAAAGGGTCTCTTCCCAAGTTCTACCAAGGTCATCAGAACAGAACAGTACTCGATGTGGCCTTAACTGGGCAATCACAATATGGTAATACATTGATGTCTGCAATTCAAGAGGCAGCACAAACTGGAAGAATCCCATTAGATCTTAAGATTCAAGTCCCAGTTAGCGTTAAACTTGGGAAGCTCAAGTTGAGAAAGGTGAAAATATTGGGAGATTGCTTGCTGATTGTCGATAGCCTCTCTACTAATAGTTTGGTCCGAATTAAGTCCAGTACTTGCAAGTTTGGATTGAAGCTCTAAAAGCTTCTGCTTTGTATTCAACATGTTTGTTAGTATTTAATTTAGACTTCTAGTTCAGTTGTGTATTTTATTTTATTTTTGGGATCTCTACTCTTGTTAGGAGATTTCTATTACATTCATCTTCATTATTCATGTTCATAAGCCAACCATTGGCTGTTGGTTACAACTTGGTTATGCAGCTTTAATATAAAGTTATTTATTGCAGAAAAAAATATAGCGCATGGCTTTTGTTCTTCCAAAGTAGATTATGTGTTGCTACTTGCTCCTACTTGACACTTGTATCAAGAAAGAACTAACTGCAGATGGCAGAAGATTAAGATAACTGAGGCCCCTTAGTTTATTACCAAAGAAGCATCATACAAGCTAACATGCAAAATGCCCATTAGAACATTGTGCTAGTCTGATATATACATGTGTAATAGCCAAGCAAGTTTCACAATTTCTTAGTTCAAATGACGCGTCACACTTGTGTATCTCAACATCTCTTTTCGCAGAAAAGTTTTCAGTTCCATTAAGCCAATGTAACCTCAGGATTAGGATCAACATCTGTTTTCAAATGCCATTTGCCAAGGGGATTAATCACCGACCAAGGCTCGTGGTCTATGCTCTATGGTAAACAGGGACATTCCTGTCTGTGAAACAGCTCTGGCAAATGCCATGTTTGCAGTTATAGTAGGAGCATGCCAATAATCACCAGTCCCAAAAGCTACCTTGTTTTTTAAAGCCAATTTTCTGGTTGTTGGAAGGCTCATTAGCCGTTCTGACGGGCAATCAGGCACAACCCTGTTTGAGTTAATCAGATGATCAGCATATGGAGTTTAAGTAACCAGTAAAACTATAAAATTAAATCTAAGAACAAAAGAAACATGGAGATGGAAAAATTCCCAGTGTGACTCTTAACAGGTCTGAGGCAAGTGTTACTAGCTTACTACAATGTACCATCACGAGATTCAGGTTATTTTACTATTTGGCATCAGATTTCAAAGAACTAAGCCGTTGTAACAGACTGACCAAAGGACCATGCCAGCAAATCTACAACAACTACTGAATAAGAATAATGTTTAAGAAGCAGCAGAGTTGCTAACAAAAGTTTACTGGGACCTAAAATTTGGAAGTCATACAGCAAGACAAACAAAACTCCTTCAAATTTATCTTGTAGGTTATTTAGAAGTCAGATTAGAGGATGGCAAACCATTCATATTTTTCTTCCTGTTTCTTTTCTGGAGGGAAGAATGCGGAGGGACTGGCAGAGCATGTACTGTTGAATGTAACGATTGTTGCAATAAAGTTGTAGGAAAATAAAACTTGATGTAAGAAACATATTGAAATTTATCAAATTTTCACCTAAGATGATTCAGAAAGTGCTCTGCTCTAGACTTCTCATTAGGCCCACCACACATTGAAACAAGCTCCTGAAATTCTGAACAAACACTTTCACAAACTATGCCTCGCTTTTGCAATATAGAAGGCATCAGCTCCATGTGGATTGGCTTCTTAATTTCAGAATTCACCTGGTGGAAGCCAAGTCAACAATAAACCAAAGAATGTTACTACAATGTTCGCCAAATGCAAAAGTACAGTGGTTAAGCTAATAGTATATGAGTCTTCGCTGTTCATATATAAAGTGATTTCTTTAGGACTGAAAACAAAAGGACCACAGATATAAGCAGTTGATCATTTCCAACTCACTACGAATTTTAGTGCTTTGAGTCACACTATTGACTTCGCAGAACAAGGAACACCAAAACTAGCAATTTGTAATGCTTATGTATTTCAGGTAAAATTATTGCATGGACCATCAATTGAAGCAGAAGCATAGCATAACAATAACCAGTTCACACACTCGGTGCTCTGCCAATCCAATAGAGAGGTTTTGTGAAACCACAAACAATAAGATGATGGAACGGGAACCTTGGTGTAACTGGTAAACGTGCTGCCATGTGAGCAGGAGTCACATGTTCAAGTTGTGGAAACAGTCTCTTGCAGAAATGCGGGTACAGCTGCATACAATAAACCATTTGTCTGGCCCTTTCCTGGACCCCATGCATAGCTGGATCTTAGTACACCAAGCTGCCTTTCTTTTTTACAAACAATAAGATGATGTGGCATGAGACTGCAATTTGTTATTAGTCGCTGTAGAGGCAACTGATGTACATATTCTCATAACAAAATTGTTTAAATCAACCAGCGTCATGTAAGTAATCTCTGGCTTTAAAGCCAGTAGATCTCTCATACGAGTCTCTGAGGTATGTTAGCTCTATAAAGCAAATGAAAGAGAAACATTAAAGAAACTCTCCAAATTTAACATGGAAGGATTCCAGAAATTTTAAGATAAGAGGTTTCACCTGTCCAATCATGAACTCATAATTGACCTTGAACCGGCTTCTCAGCTCACTCTCTGGAGTAGCCAGAATTCGATCAATACCACCATTACTAATCCCGGACACTATAGCAACTAGTGCTGTTGTATCAAAATTGACCAATTCAGCTTCTTCAACATCTAATCCGGACCAACTCCTCAATGCTGAGACAAGAGCACAGAAAGAATCACCCAAATTTACATCTTTACTAGCATCATCACTATGCAGCTTCCCTAAACTCCCAGAAAGGTCTGTTAATGTTTCTCCATCTTTACCCTGCAATTTAACATCTCTACTAGACGAAAAAGAACCAACCTTTATTTCCAAAATACACGCCCTTTCAAAAGACCTCCCTAGTACACTTACCCAATCCTCATCCTCTAATTCATCATAAAACTCACAATCAAAATCACAAAACCCAAACCCCAGATCAGTAGCTCCAAATTCCCCTCGAAGCTTCTCAAGAATGCAACTTTGAAGTCCATTTGAGAAGAAAAGGATAATAGAACTAGGCCTCACCGTAACAGATGACTCTGAGGCAGCAAACATGAGTTCTACGATTTTGCTTCTTAAACCCTTGCAATTCCTAATTTCCCCTAAATCTTCCCAACAAATGTACCTGGGGTTTCTATCTGATACAATAAACCAAACTGGGTTTCCATTAAAAGAGCAAATTACGTCGATATAAACGCTCAGTTTCGACGATAACGAAATGGGTTTACAGACCCGTGAAACTGCTGTTACTAGTGGGTGTTGAAGAATGTGAACAACTGCTTCAAGATACCCAATGTTGGTGCTGAGTT